ATGGACACATGGCACAAACTAATAATCATCTCCAGGCTCTCAGCCCCTGGGATTCAGGACTGTGTTGTCTCTGTCACGCAACCTCGCCTGTCTCCACTGACCAGCCTCAGGAGAGGCAAGTCTAAGACAGACCCCAACCCTCCAGGTCTAGGAGGCCCCACTGGGGACGTCCGGCCTGAGTTCAAAGGAAGAGTTCAGTAGGAGCAACAACCAACCATCTAAAGCAAAACCATTGCAGAAGCCGTCTGGTGATGTGGCACCCCTGAAAGGACAGAGCTGAAGCTTCCTGAGGAGAGAGGTTCCTGGCACTGGAATGACTTTATGGAGCCGGGAGAGAGGAGGCCTCAGAGGGATGGGCAGGGTGAAGGAGGCACCGGGTAAGAGACGGGGAGGTGAGAGCCACGCAGAGTGATTGAGCAAAGCCCAGAAGACTGCCCAGTGGGCAACTCGTGGGAAGCAGGAGCTGTGAAGACGTGAAAGTGGGACAGCCTGGGGGAGAGCAAGTGGCCAGAGGGGCAGAATTACCCCTGGAAGGAAAGCAAGGTCATCCTTCTCTTGGGCAACCTGTGCTGCTTCGGGAGTGGGGGGGAAGCTCCTGTAATTTCCTCATTCAGGAATGAGGAATTCTCTTTCCCTGACTGGACTCACTGTGAAGTAAGGCCTTGGCGAAGCTTAAGAGGCTCCATGAGGCTTGGTGTAGTAACAGCCCACTGGGTTCAGGAGTAGGCGTGACACAGTATAGTCCAAGCCATTGTGCTTTGCTGACGCTGTTTGAGTAATTGTTCCCAAAGGCCACAAGCTCTGACCATACTTTAGCCGCGTCAGTCAGCGTGGACCAGTGTCAACCAGTGCCAGTGTCTGTTGGTCAGTTGATCAATGTCAGTGTGAGCAGTTTTTTAGTCAACCTCAGTGTCAGCCAGTTGGTCAGTCAGTGTTAGTGTCAGACTCTGTCAGGCAGTTGGTGTCAGAGTCAGTCAGCCTAGTCCGTGTCTGTCAATGTCACCAGCCAGCCAGGCATTCATTGGTCATTATCAGTGTCAGTCGGCCGGTAGTCAGTGTCAGTCAGCTGGCCAGTCAGACATCGTCGGTGAATCGGTGTCAGCCAGTCAGTCAGTCAGTCAACCAGCGTCAATCAGCATGAGGCAGTCAAAGTAGGCAGTTAATAAGCGTGGTGATAGGCTAGCTTCTGAGCCCGGGGTTGCCATTTATTTACCCAGCCCCTACGCTGGTTCTGGGAATTGGGATAGGTGTGTCATTGCTGCATGAGGACAGAAAGTTGTCCCAGGGAACTCAGGACAAATTCATCGCTGAGTGGGGCAGGCCTCAGCCCCACATTTTTGTTACTGAGCTGGGCTGAGCTGGGTAATTCCAGGGGCTTCTGGAGCCCTAGAGGAATCACTGAGCAGTGAGTGGACGGGAACAAGGTCACCTTCTCACACTGAAGAGCCTGCTCCTCCCCCACAGAGGGTTTCGGTGCTAGTCTACCAAGTGCTCTCTGACCACAGTTCCAGCACTGGCCAGATGGACAGGTGACAGCTCACTGTGTACTGCAGGCCTTTCCACCGCCTTCCTGCAAGAGGCCGTACTGTCCAAAGATACGCAGACACAGGGTTTTCCCAACTGCTCCTTTCTCAGATGGGGCCAGAGTGGAGCGTGGAGGAGGGTGCCCATCCTGGGCCCCAGTCCCCAGGCATGAACGTTGTTGTGGGCTGTGTATTCTGTCTGCCTGGACAGTGTCCCTCCTCTGGGAGGTCACCACTCATCTCCCTTCCCCTGAAACCCCCACCGGTAGTGTGGGTTTGAGTAGGAGGAGACAATCACAGTGTACGACCTTGTCTTAGCCATGGGTGGGTTGAGACTGAGGCTGAAGCAATTGGAGTACTTCCTTGTCCCACAGTGATTGGTCTAGAGATGGGCATGTGACCCAACCCAGGCCAGTCAAGATGCTTCTCCAGGTCTTTTCTGAGGCCGTCTCTCTATCTCTCTCTCTCTCCCTCCCTCCCTCCTTCTCTCCCTCCCTCTCTCTTTTCTATGCTCTTCTCACCCAGCCCCTTAGATGGGTTTTTCTCCCGGAGGCAGAAAGTTTCTCTGTGGTCTTATCTGAGCTACACCCAAAGCTGGCTCATTGCTCCCAGCAGAGGGCTGTGTCAAACCAAACCTGGGTTCATTTGATTTGGAACAACGCCACATGAGGAGCTTCCCTCCTTCTATCCTGCAACACCCGACATCCTGCAGTTCTGCCTCAAACCACCTTCCAAGTCAGCGGTTCTCAACCTGTGGGTCACGACCCCTTTGTACCAATGAAAACACATCCTGCATATCAGGTTTACTTTATGATTCATTAACAGTAGCAAAATTACAGTTATGAAGTAGCAACGAAAATAATTTTATGGTTGGGGGTCCATACCGCAATGAGGTATTAAAGGGTCGAGGCATTAGGAGGCATTAGGACAGTTGAGAACCACTATTCCAAGTCCTCTGGGAAAGCGTCCTGGAGCACACCTGGGGCAGCACTAGGCTCCCATGATCTAAGCAGGCTGGAACTGCAGGTTTAAACAGGAAGAGCCAATTTTATGAGACGGTTTCATAGTTCTGAAATAACGATTTTAAAAGTCTAAGAAACAGGCAAGCAGCCTGTGTCCATGGGAACAACCCGTTGAACACCCAACAAAGGTATGTCCTCACCATAGGCCATGCTGCTCTCCTAGCAAAGGTTGGCTGTCCCTCCTTCCATCCCCCCAAGGCCCAAATGACACTGACCTGCAGCTGCTGTGTTTGGTCATAGCCTCAGTCCTCACAGCCCCCATGTTTAATATGACAAACCCATCCAGAGGAGAAAGCCAGGAGGAGAAACTGATGTACGAGTTGACAATAAAGAGTCCAGGTATGTTAAAAAGTGATTTATTGGGGGGGGGGCACAGTAACAGCTACATAATTAGGAACATTTCATGTACCTGATCCATCCATGTTTTTGTGTCACAAAGACATACTATGACTTTGGAAAAATTCCAAAGGGGATAACACTTGATATATGTTTTTTGTGTGTGTGTACTTCTCTTAATCACAGTGACCAAATAAAATAGCTTTACAGCTTACTAAAACTCAAACTTGTCCTTAGAGGAAGCGTTTTAAACATTTATAACTGTAAATCAGCTATACAATGATTCCACACACGGAGAAAAACACAGCAAAAAGCAGCTCTAACAGAAAGCGTGTCTTGTCCCAAGAGGAAAAAAATGCACATCATGAGGAAAACTCGATTCATCCAGAAAGAGTGGATCCTCTACAGGACTGAGATCCTAAAATAAGATAAAATAGTGGGTGCATTGTCCTCTTTGGGGAAAAAAAGGAGAAGAACAGCTCTGTCTCTAACTATGCTGAGACTCTGGTTTAAAAAGCTTAAAGGTAGCTGGATGCAGTGGCTCACGCCTGTAATCCTAACACTGGGAGGCCAAGGTGGGTAGATGACTTGAGCTCAAGACTTTAAGACCAGCCTGAGCAAGAGCAAGACCCCGTCTCTAAAAAATACCCCGTGTTGTGGCGGGTGCCTATAGTCCCAGCTACTTAGGTGACTGAGGCAAGGGAATTGCTTGAGTCCAAGAGTTTGCGGTTGCTGTGAGCTATGACTCCATGGCACTCTACTGACAGTGACAAAGTGAGACTCTGCCTCCAATAATAATAATAATGATAATGATAAAAAGGTTAAAGGAGCCAGGGGAAGATCCGAAATCCTGCATCTCCCAGGGGCAGCATTTACCATGAATGAAAGGCCTCGAACCACATCCTCCCTGAGATGCCCCCTGCACTGTACCCACTAGTAAACTGGAGTGAGTGGCCCTCTGTACTCACAGCCTGCAGGTGCTGACAGCTGGCTTTTCCCCGAGAGGTGCCTCACCCTCTCCCTAAATGGAGGTACCAAGTCCCCTAATGAACAAATGAGCCACAACCTGGAAGACTGGGTGCTGTCAGGAGATGCCAGGGCCTTCTGAGGATGTGAGGATGCACACAGCACCATCTCAGTTCTTGGCCATTATAAATGGGTGAGTCCCTTCTCCCCAAAATGCAGAGCACTGGCTGGCTAGACATAACAGCACCAGGAAGGTGGCAACAACCCTACAAGGCTGTGCTCATCCAAGCTGCCTGTTGACCCATCTGCAGGAGTGCCAGCAAAAGTTCTGACTCACCTGCCCTGGTTTAGCTGTGAGGAATGACTTAGATTTAGGCTCTTGGTAAAGGGCCTGTTCTGGCCACTGCCATAATGAATAACTGGGAAAACAGCGCCGGGCGGTATGTCTGTGTCTAGGGGTGCATGGACACGTGTGTCAGAGAGGGGGTCCTTGTGTATATGTGCATGAAGGAGGTGAAGACCCCCCAAGCAGGCCTTCAGGACAAATTGCCCTGCCACTCATCCCAATCAGACACAGACACACACCTTCAGAGCAACACTGGAGACTGGTAGGTGAGGTTAGCTAACATAAAGAATTCCAGATATCCTACTCCCTGGCCACCTGAGAACAGATTTCAAACACTATTTGATGAAATGAAATTCAGGCCATTTACCAGTCTTTTCCAAACTTTTGACCATGACCTACTTGAAATTTACTCACTACGAAGGGTGTAGGGAAAAGGTGGGTAAAGACCACCAGAGAAAAAAGGTAATGGCTGAGGTGGACACGTCTGTTGATTTCCTGACCTGGCTCCTGTTCATACAGGACTAGGTGACAAGAGCTCATGCTCAGCCAGATTGCACAGGGCATGCTCTGAGCTGCCCTTTCTACTGTATTTGTGCTGGTGACCTACTAAATTGATTTTGTGACCCATTCGTGGATTCCACTTACAGCTCAACACAGTCACAGTCAGATTAGGACAAACCCTTGGCATCTGCAGTCTTCCAGTACAGCAGAAAAACTCCCTGCACGGAAGGAGGCCTGCAGGAGGCCACCAACTCCACCAAAGGTGAGGAAGCAGGCTTCCCTGGCCATCTTTAAGGAAAAGGGGGCGCCATAGTGGGCAGATTCGGGTCCTGGTGGACAACCACCAATCCACTCGCCCAAGTTGCTAGGCAAGGTGGACCACGATATGCAGGGACGTGGGCAGGTCCCTTAGGGGTTCTCCGGCCGCCCCCCAGCACTCTGGCATGTCTGCACCAGGAAGATGAGCCGCGAGATGTCGGAAAGCGAGGGGAACTCGGCCATCACGCGGTCCACCAGCTCAGGCGGGAACACGCCACAGAGCGTGCTGCGCGCCTGGGCGCGCGCGTCCCCCTCGCGGTCCGCGACCGCGTACCCCAAAGGTCCCCCAAGAGTGCAGTCGCCCCACGTCGGCTCCACCCAAGCCGAGCGGCTCCGAAAGCGGTCGCAGCTCCGAGGGTGGGCCCACGGGTCGTCGGGAGGCCTGCGCTGGGGAAGCAGGTCTCCCTGCAGGTCCCCGCCCAGGTGTCTGCCCCTCGACTGGAGCTGCGGCCCGGGCGGGAGTGGAAGGTCACCAGTGGCGAACGAGCTCTGCCGGCTTGGGAGGCCGGGCGGGGACTGCGAGGGCCCGGGCGCCAGGCCGCTGGCGGAGCGTGGGGGACGCGGCCCGAGGGGCCCAGAGGCGTCGCTGATGGCCAGCCGCGAGAAGCTCGCTCTCAGGGCGGCCGGGTCCGCAGGCTGCGGTGCGGGCGGGAGGCTGCGCACACCGGGTTCGCGGGGAGCCGACCGAGCTCCCTCGGGGCCGCCCCAGACGCTCGGTGGCCACTGCTCCTCGGCGGCCGGACGAACCCACGTTTGGGCGCGGAGCTCGTCGGCCACCGCCAGCTGCGCGTGGTGAGGCCTCTCCGGGTGGTAGAACTTGCACTTGATGCCGTAGGTGCACTTCTTGCCTGGAAGGGTCAGGGCAGAGAGGGCGTGAGACCGGGACGCGGAGAGGCTGTGCTGCCTGGGCCGTGGCAATGTCCCCGCGGTCTTTCTCCCCGGATGTTACGCCCCGAAGGTCTCCACGCCGCAGCCGCAGCCGCAGCCCTAGCCCTGGGAAAGGCCTCAGGAGCCCGGAGCGGGACAGATGTGCAGAGAAGTGCCCAGGGGCAGGTCGCACGGGCAAGGGTGCGCTGGGCACACTAACCCCAGGCTCCACAGAGTGAGTGTCGGTCCGGGAACTCCCCAGGACCAAGGATTGGAACAAAATCTCCAGATCTGATGATCTTCAGCCTCTACTCCGCCAGGGATCCTGGGATAGGCCCAGTGATGGGGAGGGGTGATGGGGAGTGAGTGCCCATGGCCTGGGATTGAGCCTCCAGTGCAGCCTCTGTCCATGGCTGCCCCACCCCTGCACTAACCATTGCTCTCTCCCTACAGACCTTCCTAGCAGAGCTGTGATCCAAACCTGGGCTCTTCTGAGAGTGAACAGGGGTGAGATGGGTCACCCTGAATGTATCTGTGGTCATCTTAATTCTAACAAGTAATGACTCTGAACGTCATCCAACATTACTGAACTTCTGTAAGTTCAAAGCCTAGGGACATCAAATAACTTCCCAAAGCAAGTTAGTGAAAGAACTGCTAGAAGACTGGCATCCTGAGGGCTCCATGATAAAATCCTTAACTCTTCATGGACAGCTCAGACCAAAGTCCTTTGCAGGAGGCAAGGTGAGTCAGGGTGAGGATGAAGGTGCCCGGGAGCATGGGAAGAGACTGAGAAGGGGAGCTGGGGTGTGCACAATCTTCCTACTTCTCAGACACAGCTTTGCCGGGTGTGGTACCCTTGCCCCCGGGCTTGGCAGACACACACTTCTCTGCATCAGCCATCAAGGATGTCAGTCCATCCTTCCAACCACCCTGACTGGTGGTCCAGAGAAGTTAAGTTACCTCTCCAGGGTCACGCAGCCAGTTCAGGGCTGAACTTGGGCAACAATAGAGGCTGCTGACCACCAGGCCAGCAGTTTTGACTGTGCTTCTATGTCCCTCTGCCCCACACAAGGCCCAGCACTAGGTGCTACCCACCGTAGGGACAGTGCTGCCAGGACGGCTCTGGGGGCTTTGGCTTCCGACTCAGGAAATTGCTCAGGGTGGGTCCATGACGGCCAAGGGGGTCATCAGGAGGCATGAACCTAGAAAATAAGCACAGGGGGCAACTGCAAAACCAAGTAGGACCGGACAGTGGCACCTGGAGAGAGGAAGCAGGCCTGAGCCAGGGAGGAGCATCAGGAGTGCACTCGGCCTGGGGCAGGGCTCACTGTCCACAGCACAACCCTGGGCCTCTTTGGAGAGTTTCTCCTGCTCCAGTCAGCAGTGTCAGAATCATCTAGCAACCTGTTAAAAAGGTAGTCTCAGAGCTTCACATAGGCCTGCTGGATCAGAATCTGAAGTTGTTGTTTAGGACTTTGCATTTTCACAACTTCCCAGGTGATTTGTATCCAGGAAAACTGAAGTATAATTGCCCTGGGGCTGCCCTGGCTTCCTGCTGTCCTCAGCAGAAGGTTAGAAACCTCCAAGGGGTTAACTAAGAGTTCAGAAAGTTTCAGAGTTGCTTGAACCCCTAGAGGCCTGGGTCCCATTTCTCCTATTTCACCTCATGCCAAACACAGCTCTGGACCCGTGCAACACAGTTGGGATCACCTGTTGGAGGGTCAGCTGCGGCTTCCAAGTGCTATCTGCACAGAAAGCATCCTGGCAGACTCTCCCTCCTCCTCTGTAATGCCTGGGGCACTGGGTTTGGTCTGTTTCCGAAGCTGCCCTTATTCTGGATGAGTCACTCTCTTATCCTGGCCTGCTCCCTGCCTGCCCCCTCCCTCTGCCCTAGCATTGAGCCCTACAAGGAAGGGGATGCACACTGAGGGTGCTCGGGCCCCAGGGGAAATCTAAACTCCTCCTCTGAAGGAAAACTCCCTTTGTTTGGGGAGATCTACTTTTTTATGTGAATACGTTTGTTCCCAGAGACACGTCCAGGTCATACAAAAGTTCTGCTGGAGCGTTTGTGGATTCTAAGGAGGGGGCAGACTATGGGTTGGTGCTCCCTTAGAAGTTCAAAAGTCACACCAAGGCTCCACCCTGCAGAGAGCTGGGTAAGCCTGGTCCAGGGCAGCCCCTGTGGCTCAGCGCCCAGCTACACAGCCGGCTTCTCAAGAGTTGGGCCCTGCCCAACAAGCTGGGGAGCTGCCCACTGTGGTTATTAAAGTTCCCAAAGACTTCACCTCCTGCTCCCTCAGGACCAGGAGCTGTGCCAAGTGGGCCCTGTGGACATGCCCAGGGCGCTGGGGCGGGTGCCCTCACTCACAGGGAGATGGCAGGCTCTGCCTCTGGCCAACAAGGGGAGCCCTTTGGCCAGCTGTTAGCCAAGGCCAGTGCATTGAAAGGACTTGGCTCAGGCCCCAGGCTGTCACCAAGCCAGAGGCAGCCATTATCCATCGGTCCTCAGTGAGGATTTCTGGAACCCACAGTTACAGACTTGCCAATTCCTCCAGGCCAAAGCTGCATAGTGAGCACCCCTGGCCTTGTGGATATTCAAGTGACAATGGGGGCTACTACAGGGCACCACTGCCAAGCATCTGCCCTGGGGCTCGGGAAGGCCCATGCACCTGCCCAGCTGATGGGGCAGGTGGCAGGAGAGACACTAGTACTCCTTGGAACACCATGTCCTGGTCTAGCCTGGGAATAACAGCTCCAACTTCAGGGCCACCATTCTCTAGTCCTTACAGCAATCTCAGAGGTAATATTATTAATGTCTTTTCAAGGTGAAGAATGTTCAGTTAAGCAAGGTTGAATGATTCCCCCCACGACACACAGCCAGAAAATGGCAGGACCTCACTTGGAAGCCTCCCCAGCTGGCTCCAAAGTCTGATCTGTTTCCACAGCACCATACTGCTTCCCTGGCTTCAGGGTCAGGAGCTGCTGGGTTGTGTACAGGTGGCCTGAGCCCACATGCCACCTCCTCTCCCCTCCTCATCCACCTCTCCAGGGCCTCAGCCATTCACTCATTCATTCATCTGCAACTAGTAATTGCACATTATGTACCAGGCACGCTGGGGACATGGCTCCTAAGACAAATACAGTCCCCGCCCTCACAGAGCTGGGGAATTTGTCTCAAACCACATTCTAAAGACCTAGTCACAAAGTCTGAGTGTGGGCTAAGCTATCATTGCCTTGAGCAGAAACTGGAATGGGGGTGATGTCCCAGCCTTCTGTGTCCTCCCCACATTGTCCCACACTATTCTGTCTCCAGACCTCTCAGTCACCTTGCTGGGCTCCCAGTGTCTGCCTTTAGAATGCCCAAGCACGTCTCAGTGGACATGCCATCTTCTCCCACCTTAGCTTGGGCTGAGGGGCCCACTGGGCACCTCCTGACAGGTGGGGGCTTGTGGCCCTAAGGCCCGTCCCTTCCCCCAGTGGTAACTGGCTGAGATGAGATGAGCCGGCCAGGTTCTCTTGAAATTTCAGTGCAGAGGTAGGGAGACAAAGCCCTTTACAGCCCAAAAGAAAAGAACTTTGCTCATTCCCATATGTAATACCAAAAAAAATGTATTTAAAAAACAGCCCCAAATCTGAAATGAGTGAAAGGCAACACGACAAAGTTGGGGTTTTTCCCATGATGATTATTTCAGTGCTCTTAGTTGAAGTATTAAATTCTAAAAAAAACATCTGGCTGGCCCACCTGCTGAGCAGTTTTGTGGTGAGCCAGTCAGATGTGGCTGTGGGGACAGCAAGGTCAGGGACAAAATACCCTGCTGGGAAAGTGCCCCCAGAAAAGGCTGGCCAGGATAGGGGGCACTCAGAGGGGCAGAGGTGACTGTGCTGCAGCCTGGGAGAGCCCCGACTGCAGGGCTGGGTGTCCCGTGACCCCATGCCCCTCTGCCTGAAGGTGGGGGTGGCCTCCGCCCCCGCTCCCCGCTGTGTCAGGACCTCGCCCGGCCATACCGGTCGTTGACGAAGGAGAACATGAGCAGCCTCTGCTCGATGAACCACTTCCACTCGGGGTTCTCGCTCTGCAGGTCCCGGTAGTTGTCGTTGGAGACGATGACGCCGTCCTGCTCGTAGGCCACCTTCACGATGTAGCGGTCATCGTAGCAGACCAGCCGCTTGCCGTGCACCTTGCGGGACGGGGTGTACACGAGCACCGCCTGCCTCTCCAGCTGCTCCAGCACATGCTGCTCTGTGGGTGCAACAGAGACCGTGGGCCAGGACCTTCCGGGGACACCCCGCCCCACTCTCCCCCACACAGTCAAATGAGGGACAGAAGATTCTGAGGGGAGAAAAGAAACGCCAATTTCCCCTCTATCGTGTTCACTTCTTTCACTAAATCTCTCTGCATCTGCTTGCAGCTTGAGGTCAAGAGGGCTGTTGGCTTCTGTCTCACCCGCAGCATGACAGGAGTCCACAGGATGGTACACAAAAAGGGAGAGGCACTTCCAAAAGAAGGTTTCCACCGCTGTGCTGGTCCGTCTGAGGGTGACGGCCGCTACCACAGTACACCCAGGGGCCTCCTTCTGCAGAAAGGCGTTCCCATCTCAACCGGAACCCAGGCAGCACCTGGCAATGACCAGGACACTTGCATCCCCTGGAAGGCCCTGCAGGGCCCTTCACTGGGAACCATGGGTCCCTCTTCCCCCACTATACAGAAATCTACACCAGATACCTTTGGGGTGCAGCATCTCATAACTGACCGATCTCAGGGATTCAAGAATGTCATAGAAAGAGTACAAGACAAAGAATCTATAGCCTGATTCTGGGTACGTTACCACTGTTTCAATGTCAGATTGCACATTGATAAAAGCAGGATGATAGCACCCCCCTAACCCATCTCAGGGTGTCTATGAGCAGACTGAATAAGCTCAGATGTGTAAGAATTCTAGCAAAAACTAATAAGGAGATGACCACATACCAGGTATGGAAGCATTACCAGGCCTTTCTTATCAGGAGCTAAAAGTCCCATCCTGGGAAGTTCTGTCTGATCTTAGTTTTGCCTTTGGAGCATGCAGAAAAAGGAAAGATCCTTTTAACACATAATAGCTGCTCAGAACTTGGAAGAACATACTCTTCATAATTTGTCATAAATTGTTTCTTTCCCCATGTTGCACAAAAACAAAATAACCATGATTTCCAGACTTTATAAAGGTACACAGTGTGGCCAGGTGTTATAAACCCAGCACTTTGGGAGGCTGAGGCAGGAGGATCACTTGAGGCCAGGAGTTCAACACCAACTGAGGCAACATAGCCAAACCCCATCTCTAAAAAAAAAAATTAAAAAATTAACCAGACATAGTGGTGCATGCTTGTAGTCTTAGCTACTCCCGAGATAGGGGCATCACTTGAGCCCAGGAGTTTGAAATTACAATAAGTTATGATGGCCCTGGTGCCTGGGTCAAAAAGAAAAAGTGCATAATGCATCTACTATACAAAGAATAACTGAAAAAAATCCCATGTCTATAGCACCTCCTTCGAGAAATGAAGGTGGCCTGTGTTTGGAAGTCTACTCTGCCCCAACAAGTTTGCAATCCTCTCCACTCCCCTTAAGATAACCCAGGTTTTAGAATTTAGTCTTTATAATTCCCTTGCTTTTATTTCTAAAAATACATATGTATACGAATCATTTTCAATGTGGTTACACACTGGACATCGCACAAACACAATCACACTATATGTATGCAACTGGCTTCTTCATTTACCATTGTGTTTGTGAGGTCTGGATGTGTTGATGTGTTTGCTGCTATTAGTTTTGTTTCAAAGTCCCCGGCACAGAAGTCCAACAGCCTTTCTAGGGTATATATCTAAGAGCAGATATTGCTGAGTCGTAGGGAAAGGCACTCTACAAGACAATGCCAAACTGTTTTCCAGGACAGTGATATCAAGTTACATACCCATCACAGCATCTGAGACGACCTTGCCAACACTTGGCATTTTCAGGCTTTTGAATTGTTGGCAATTTGGCAGGTACAAAATCGCTTCTTACTGTGGTTTGGTTTTGAATTTCTCTGGTTACTAATGAGACTGGGCACCTTTTCTTACATTTACTGGCCATTTTATCTTTTCTTCTATGCTGCCTTATTCATACTTTAGCTTCTGTTCCTTCCTTTAGGTTCCTTCCTTGTCTCATTAATTGGGAGAAGTTCTGTCTAGATCTAGACAATACTCCTTCACCAGTAGCACGTGATGCACATCACCCTCCAAGTGGAGCTTGTTTATTTATTTATTTTTTTGGTTTTGTGATATCCATTAGCAAACAGAAGCTTTCATTTTAAACGTAGTCAATTTTATTCATCTTTCCGCTATAGTTTTGTACTTGTTGTGGCCTACTTAAAACTGCCTTCCCTTCCTTGAAATAATTTCCCTACTGTTTGCATATATTACATTCAAATATTATACAACTGTTGAAAGCCACCATTCTTCATGTTCAGAACACAGAGAATAATTTGGGGTAACTGGCTCGTGATGGAGAACTGAATGCAAGTATTTATCCCCTTCCCTCAAAGTCCCAATGTAATGGCAGTGAAGTACAAAAGGGGGCTAGACATTAAAAGTAGGCTTGGGGACAGCAGCAAACTCAGGACTTTGACAAACTTTAGGAAGACAGAAAGCAGAGAGGATTGTATTGACCCCACAGCATGGAGGGAACCACAGCCTGGAGCATGCACAGAAGGCTGGAGGAGAGGTGGGAGTTGTGTCCCTGCCAAGCCACAGAGCAATTCTGGCCTTAGAGAGGGAGCAGAAGTCCCCGCTGGGGCCAGGATGGCTAACAGGTGAGCTACTCATGGACCAGCCTACTCCAAGGGTATGGAATTTTACTCATCCCATCTCCCTATCACTATAAATAAAGTGAAAATACAATCAGGAGGGAGGAGGCCTTCCACAGCAGCTGTGGACCCCTAGATAAACCAGCACGGGTTTGGCATTGGAATTTGTGGTGAGCAGAGGTGCCCTGCTGCCTACCTGCTCCATGCCAGGTATGCTAAAACTGCCAGTCAACACCAATGGTTAGTCCTGACATTTAGGGAGAAATTTGAATACTGGCAGAGAAAACCCACAGCAATTGCATAGATATACGGTCATGTGCCCCACAATGATGTTTCAGACCATGGATGTGAAGATGATACCTTAAGACTATAATGAAGGGCGATGCCCATGGCTCAGTGAGTAGGGTGCCAGCCCCATATACCAAGGGTAGTGGGTTCAAACCTGGCCCCAGCCAAACTGCAACAACAAAAAAATAGCCACGCGTTGTGGCAGGTGCCTGTAGTCCCAGCTACTTGGGAGGCTGAGGCAAGAGAATCGCC